GATGTGAGATTAAAATCGTGTGTGAAAGTAAAGTTTGTGACGAAAAATGACACGTTTGAAAATTTCGTCAACCAATAGAGTTTTTAATCCATTATATTTCTTCATTGTCGATAACAATATGTATAAAAAAGAATTGATATCTTTCATCAATTTTATTCAATGGACTAACAAAGTCTAATTTTATTATGAATAACTGTTGGTTTGTTTTTTCCAAACTCAACACGGGCAAATGAAATAAAATAAAAAAAGAGGGACACTAAGGAGACATGTCTTGTACTTAATTTAATTATGTACTGATTAGATAGAAGAAGCTACCACTTACGTAGAATATATGCCAAAGATGCATAAAACTAAAATGGCACAACAAACGATGCTAATCCATTGAATTGTGATACCATAGGCATAACCCGAATATATTTCACTGCTATCAATTTTAATGTTCATTGTATTTAACAGATATGTCGACAACATATATGATGGAGATCATAGACTAATTAGTCAAGAATGTGTACATTGTGTTGGAGATTTAACTTTATTATGAGACAATCACAATTTTTTTTAATAATATAGAAATAAAGGAAAGATTGATACGTGTGATTGCCGGCTAGGGAGGATACAAGTGAGGGCGACTAAGGTTGTCCAAAGTCATGCACCCCACCCCACACCACCAAATTCCTACCATACTTTTTTTTTCAATTTCTTGCTTCTGTCTATGGCTACCTGCCTCTTTCTTTCCATTCATTTCAGCTCTACAAGTTCGTTCTTAGGAAGAAGAACGATGACAGCAAGAGATTCGCCCTCCTCGTCCATCGAAAGTAGCAGCGCCGTGCGCCCATTTCTCTCGGCCAAACCTGATCTCAACATCGGCCTCAACATCTCCACTATTCCAGATGATATAGACATGAATTTACAGGGACGTCCAACGAGTCTGTTCGTCAAAGTTTACATGGAAGGCATCCCAATTGGCAGAAAACTCGACCTAATAGCTCATTATGGTTATCATGATTTGATCAAGACTCTCCATCTCATGTTCAACTGCGACGCTGACATTCTATGTGAGCAGTACTAATATCTCTTTGAATAAACCTACAAAAATGTATTTAGAAATATTAATGTGAAGAATGAAAATGGCAGGGGCTGGAAGAGACGAAGAGGATTCGAACTGGGAGAAATGTCGAAGGTACGTCTTAACATATCAAGATCAGGAAGGAGATTGGTTGATGGTTGGCGATGTGCCATGGGAGTAAGCTTCTGTTCTGTTCAGCAATTTTATATATTCAAGATGCTGATGCATGTTTTTTAGTCATAACATTAACTATATACACTGTATTGGATAATCTGTTTGCAGGATGTTCCTCAGTGCTGTCAAGAGATTGAAAATTACTCAAATAGACAGATGACTCGTCTCGATAGCAAGCAAGCAGCCAGCCAGCATAACAAGTTTTGCTCTTAAGTACTTAATATGTATGTAAACAAACAGGCAACAGCGGTACAAGACTTCTCTTCTAGGGTTCTTCTTCCCTTTTTTTTTTTTT